CCCCCCCCCGCCCAGATACCCCCCAGACTTCGCGTTCGACCCAAGCGACGAAGACGAGGGGGAGGAGGACATGCTGAGGCAGCAGCTGCGCAAGCACCTCGTGAACGCCATCCGGAACGCGCCCGAGACCGTCCTTGAGTTCATCTGCCGGGCCCTGTCGTCCCTTCCGACCCCGCTTTCGGGCCTCCCTTTCCCGGAACTGGAGGCCGCGCTTCGCCTCATCTTTCACTTCGGCGAGGGCTGCGGCGGCGTGAGCGTCTTGAACTCTTCGGGCGGGGGGGGGGGGGGGGGGGGGGGGGGGGGGGGGGGGGGGGGGGGGGGGGGGGGGGGGGGGGGGGGGGGGGGGGGGGGGGGGGGGGGGGGGGGGGGGGGGGGGGGGGGGGGGGGGGGGGGGGGGGGGGGGGGGGGGGGGGGGGGGGGGGGGGGGGGGGGGGGGGGGGGGGGGGGGGGGGGGGGGGGGGGGGGGGGGGGGGGGGGGGGGGGGGGGGGGGGGGGGGGGGGGGGGGGGGGGAGTGCGGCGACCGGCCTCTCCCGGCGCGGCGGAGCTGCTGAGGTCCGGCGCGTTCCCGCAGATGGTGCTCGCGCTGCACGATAGCGACGTGGCGCGGCACAAGCACCCCCAGGTTAGCGGAATAGTTTGAGAACTCCGTTTGCCTGGTAGATAGCCACACGAGGTAAGGTTTGGGATTGGATCCGTCTGCTGCTGCGCTCGATGTGTCCACTGCGTCCTTGTGATCGTGTTGGGAGGTTGGGGGACGCTTTGATTCCAGCCTTGTTTGTGTTTTGTTATCTACCTGCACGGCACCGTCATATTGGTTTTCGTTTAACGTTAAGAGTTTTTTTGTGTTCGCCCCTCCTCTGGCTGGACTGGTGGGCTTTGTGTCGATTCTGCTTTGGCCACATGCGGGTTGAACAAACGTCTCTGAACCCATGTCGTCCCAGCTTCTCGAAACGAGGACCCTTTTTGGTTGCTGCCATTTTCGGGAAAAACCCTCATCTCCGGGTGATGCCTCCCACTGACTCGCTCGCTGGCCCAACCAATCAACCAATGTTCCAACCAATCAACCAATGTTCTTGCACGACCGCAACACTGACCCGGCCCTCAGGTGGTGATGCTTTACTTCCAGCTGACGGTGAGGTACAGCAAGATGCTAGCGGACGGACCCCCGCATCTCATCCCGAAGGTGTGGCACCGGCAGGTCTAGCCTTGAAAAACAAAGCCACACCGTCCGTCCGTCCGTCCACCCCCCCCCCCCCC